ATTTTAAAACAGCCGAAATATAAATATTCTAGGGAACTGAATGTGTTATCCAAATTGTCTCATAAAAATTTATTCAAATTTCCCCGTACACCGACTTAAAAACATTGTAATATAGTATTAAAACAACTCAACAAAATGCGCTAGTCGACGTGATAATTGTTAATACAAGCAGAAAACATTTTTCGATTATATTGTTTTCATAGTTTTTATATAGGTTCCATAAAAGCTTCAGATAGCAGCTAGTCTATTCTTATAACCTACAGTTACAACAGAAGTTCTCTACTAACCTTGTTTAATATAAAATAGTATGTAGATCTATAGATTAACAAATATTCTTTAACAATTATATGAATGTGTAGACCAAAGTATCCTCTTTGTTGCTAACCACATATATATAATATGAAACAAAGGCGTCTCTTATTTTTCTGAAATTCTTGCAAATGCTTACCATTATCCAAATTTCCCCACTGTTCAAATTACCCCGCTGTACCCTATCGACTTAACATGCCTTTTTTTAGAAGAGAGTTTAGACAAAGTTAAATTTATCATGTTTTGTTTTCCTTTATTTTAATTAAAATTATATATCGCGTAATTAAAAAGTTTCTTTCGATTTTTTCTTTTTTAAAATAAAAAAAAAGTAAAAAACTGGTTTATGTACCAATAATACGGGAATATTTTTCATCTAGCTTTGACTTATAATTATTTTGCATTTTACTAAGATTTACCTTTAACCTTCTTTATCCTTCTTTTGTGTCAATTGTTTCAAGAATTCCATGTATGAATTCTTTTTTGGAATCTAAATTAATTGTTCTCGAATTTTTTGAATTGAAGAAACATTTCAAAATAAAAAGGTTTTAAACTTTTAAAATGGAAAACAATGATCAGAAAAATTAATCATTAGAAAGAGACAAATTAATTGCTTACTATCAAAATATAAAAAATGATTAAAAATTTTTTTTACATTTATATCATTATTTTATATATACTTCTTAAATATTACACATATTACAATTACTTATGTTATATGTTCCACATTATCGAAATATTGTATTATTGAAACTATATGCATGAACGTAAGTTATTGTTTATGTTTATTAGAAATATATATTTTTCATTGCAGAATTTCGTGGTGCGACAATCAAGCCAAAGCGATACAATGGCTCTCTCAGTGAGATTACCTGCCGGGAAGGGACCTTACATTGAGCATTACTTGATTCAGGCCAACAAGGGCAAACTGAGCTTGGAAACGAGTGAGAACAGGTTCGACAATATTCCCTCGCTGATTGCTCATTATTCACAATGCTGGTAAGTACCTTCTTTTTTCTTTCTTTACTTATATATGGATTTCTGTCTCAGATATGATAGACTATCATCTTTTTTATCCTTATGTTCTAATCTTTGCAAAACTTATATATGTAGGAAGCGAATATTCTAGACGGCATCGCGACGCGATATTGTAACGAAGCGAGAAAAGAAAAGCGAGCGAAAAGACGAACTTCTTTTGTCACCGAGTGCTCGGACCGAGATACGAGCGCGACTCACGGGAGTTCAGTTCGGTTGACGACAGGCGAGTCGAACGGACGCGACGTGTTCTTGTATCACTTTTTATAATATATATCTTCT